GAAAGGGTCGTTCGAACTAATCGAAAATTGCTCTCTCGGTAGACGTTGGACCGTAACCCCGCCAAACGATGCTAATTTCGAACCGTGTGTTTATCTTTTGCGTTCGACGGAGTGTTCCGTGCGCGAGTTTGTCACGGTTCAGCTTTGATGCCCCGTAAATGGACCGAGAAACGACGAACGACCGTTTGAGATGAAAAGAACATCTCTGACGGTCGCGTCCATCGTTCATTTTTTCTCCATGAGACGCAATTAATGTTTCGATTACAAGGTACTCGTTGAATGGCCAAACTATAAGTGTGAACCTAGGATCTCATTTTGAAAACAATATACAGGGTGTTCGGTCACCCCTGGGAAAAATTTTAATGTGAGATTCTAGTGGCCAAAATAAGACGAAAATCAAGGATACTAATTTGTTGATGGAGGCTTCGTTGAAAAGTTATTAACGTTTAAAGTTCCGCCTGTACTGAATTTTTTTCTAGTAAGTGGGTAGGATTTTGGGGACAGATCTATTCACCAAAAATAATTGTAATTGACCCCTGTAACTAACTATAATTTTTTTAATATGATTTGAAATTTTTTAATTTCGTCTAAAAATTTCAGCACCTATTCGAATTTTTTTCTAGAAAGTGGGTAGGATTTTGGGGGTAGGTCTATTTACCAAAAATAATTGTAATTGACCCGTGTAAGTAACTATAATTTTTTTAGTATGATTTGAAATTTTTTAATTTCGTCTACAAATTTCAGTACCTACTCGAATTTTTTTCTAGAAAGTGTGTAGGATTTTGGGGATAGGTCTATTCACCAAAAATAATTGTAATTGGCCCCTGTAACTAACTATAATTTTTTTAATATGATTTGAAATTTTTTCATTTCGTCTAAAAATTTCAGTACCTACTCGAATTTTTTTCTCGAAAATAGGTAGGATTTCGGGGGTATGTTTATTCACCAAAAATGATTGTCATTGCCCCCCTCAACCGAAAATAATTATTCCAGAACGATTTGAAAAATTTTTTTTTCAGGGTAACCAGACAGTTATGATCAGACATTATATTTTGAGTAATTAATTTTTTTCTCGAAATTGAGTAGGATTTCGGGGGTATACGTATTCACCAAAAATGATTGTAATTGACCACTGAAACCAAAAATAATTTTTCTAGATCGATTTGACATTTTTTAATACATAATAAAGAAATAGAGTTACGTGTTGAAAAAATTGAAAACCACTTTTTGCAACGAGGGTGCAGCAATGCTTTATCTTCAAGGTCTATGGGGATCTCTGATTTTTCCAGATGATTTGTCTACCGACTTTCTATTTTTTCAAGGAAACGGTGAACCAATTTGTGCAAGTCTCAATTTTGTTTAATTTAATTTGAAGGAAGCAGCACATTCGGTTATTTCGAAAGTAGTAACGACTGTTGGAAAGGGATACTGCGTAATTCTAAAGGGCCCGAGTAATTCTAGAGGCGGTCCTGACCTCATCAACCACTGTTCCAACTTCCCTCGCGTTCAGCTGCGAACGCGAACCTGATACCACACCATTGGCGCTGTACCGTCGTAATAGTACATTACACTGATCTATTACCTCGATAGGAATGGGTACTGCGATATCTTGTTAATCAGATTAGTCAGATCGCTATTACATATAATTGCAACTCGACACCATTCGATAATACTATACATCTTCGATTAGCGATCGATCAAACATCTATGTACACAGCAAATTAAATTTACCAATCCGGAAGATAATTCGATCAATTTTTATGTAGATAATAAGCACCCCTTTATAATTATTCATAAGCACTGTAAACTATAAAACATTACTTTCGTACCTTAGTCTAAAGAATTACTATAACGCAATAGAAAGAAATATACGTGTATAAGCATCGATCACTGATAAAATTACATAACAGAACTGTAACTTTTTATACATAAACTCTTTCATTATTCTCTTTTTTAACCCCGATATAGACAATATTTAATTCGAACAAATTTTGGAAGCTAATCTAGTAAAAGAAATAACAATTGCAATAATCGAAGCTCTCAGGACTGCACTATAAACGAAGTATCGAATGTTCGATTCTTACCTGCTGAAGTTTACGATAATTGGACGTTGTGGAGCCAGTATAATGAGCCGGGGGGGAAAAGCGAAGCAACGATAAATTCGATTTCACTCGTTGTTAACTCTGCCCCGTCATAAAAGGGTGATTTCAAAGCTCTCCATCAATGAATCACGTTAACCGATGACCACGTTGTGCTTTCTATTCCGCGGCCAGCGTGCACGAAATTTATGATAACCAATAGAATGTAATCGTCCTTCGAGCAGAAGCAACAGTAGCTAAGGCAAGGCCATAATAGACGAGCTAGAGAACAATGGAGAAGATAAGGGAAAGCTGCTGGTGCTACCGACGTCTCTCCCGTTCGGTGCTGTTCTATTTTACGATTGCACTTGCAATGCACTGCGTTTCGAGCGAGTTTGATGCTTTACGGCCCTTCCCGGTAATTGGAAATTCGAATCGAGCCATCGATGAAAATTGTGAAATCAAATTACTAAATCCTTGCCTCGCAATTTCAATATTTTATCTCCTTTACTCTTATGGCCAAACGTTAAGACACAGTGCATTCCAAATTGTGACAATTGAAGAAATAAATTTTTAACTGATTCAATATTAAACTCAGTATTAATTTAGATTAGGTGCTATTATAATATCTCAATATTTCACACCTTGGTACTAAATATAACTGTCGTATCTTCCAAATTTCTATTGTTAATAATTTTGACTAACAGTAAATTATAAGATTATACTTCTCATAAGTACATTTTACATTTTATTTTGATTGATAATTATTTCACTGTAATGATTTTTTCTCCACCATTCAGGGTTGACTTTTTCGAGATTAAAGGTCAGAAAGAAATTTCACTATTTTATCTCCTTTACTCTTATGGCCAAATGTTAAGACACAGTGCATTCTAAATTGTGACAATTAAAGAAAATAAATTTGTAACTGATTCAATATTAAATTCAGTATTAATTTAGATCAGGTGCTATTATAATATCTCAATATTTCACACCTTGGTACTAAATATAATTTTCCAAACTACTTCTGTTAATAACTTTGACTAACAGTACATTTTAAGATTACACTTCTTATAAACACATTTCACATTTTATCTTGATTGATAATTATTTCACTGTAATGATTTTTCCCCTACCATTTAGAGCTGACTTTTAACGAGATTGGGTGCAGTTTATTGCAAGGTTAAAGAAGACACTAGAGAAAAATAATTCGGATGAAGACTTTTTCGATGGCCTTGCCTAATCTCCTATAGCACCTGTTCGACTCACAGGATCCCCACGAGAAAGAAACACTGTTTCGGGGAGGATTTCAAGTATCGAAGTTGCTGAATTTAGCCAGCAACAGGGAAACGTGATTGTCTGGGCAATGCAATCCTACCGCGGAGACAGGTAGATTAACTATCGGTGTTTTATGAGCGACACGCGAATGTATTAGATCGGTATGAACCGCGATCGATAACTGTTTACGCGGTTAGGCAGCTACAAGCTAGAGATGGAATCAAGTAACATGTGCGTCGGTTTTGGGGGGCTCCCTCCGAACGCAATATAATCTCGATTATTGGAACACTTAATTAATGGAATGTTATGCGAATATTATAACGGATATATAGTCTGAACAAGCATAGATTATTCAATATAGACGCACCGGGACCCTTAATTAGAATCCTCTCCAACCGAGATGGGCAAAATTTCATTTCGATAACGGATAATCGATTCGTTCAACGTATTGCAATTTATTCCATCACGAATAATTATAGGTTTTATTTGTCGTGAAATATTTCATTATATGATTCAAATTTTCATTTTTATTCAAAGAGTAATGGATAAACTTTCTTAAAATTGTTCTCGTTCAGGCTATATTTGTTATATAACCTTAGTGTGAAAAATTATTACAATTATATTAGATTGCTTTCTGAGGGAAACCAAAATAAAATGCCTGAAATATTTCCCCATAAATAAACGAAGTAATCAAGTATCAACAACTGTCACGTTACGTGAGATATTATATTAAAAATATTCGTTTGGCCTATCGAATACATTTTAGATTAATTGAAAGCATGCATATCGTTCAGGCTATATTTGTTATATAAATTTAACGTAAAAAATTATTAAAATTATTATCTTTTGGATTAATTCTTATATATTGCTTTCTGAGGGAGATCAAAATAAAATGCCTGAGATATTTCTCCATAAATAAATGAAGCATGAACTATCAACAACTGTCACGTTACGTGAGATATTATATTAAAAATATTCGGTTGGCCTATCGAATACATTCGATTTCTGCATAATTAAAAGCATGCATTCTGTTGAAATCACTGAAATATTTCTTCATAAATAAATTAAGTATGAACTATCAACTGTCACGTTACGTGAGATATTATATTAAAAATATTCGGTTGGCCCATGGAATACATTTTATTTGTAGGTAATTGAAAGCCTGCATCCCGTTGAAGTCACGCTTTCCACTGATTTTCTAAATCCCGTTTTTATTCAACAGGCATTTTATTGAAAACGAGGCGAGGCGTGGAGGTGTTTTCAATCCACGAAACAATTACGAAACTGATCGTATCGCCTTAGCGAGCCAGCCGGATCAATGAAACGTTATCGGCTCTTGCCACGGTTCTGAATCAGAGAATCTCACGAGTCAACGCTCTGATGCACTTTGCTGTCAGAAACGATGAATCACCGAAACGATACGATTATTCGGCGACAATCGGGCCTCTGCGAGTGAATCAGTCGCGATCGCAAAGTGTTTCTAATTAATTGCTACGCCGTAAAAAAAGAATTGCAAAACACCACGAACACCGCTTTAAAGTAATTTGCAAACGTCGACGGGGAATAAAAATTGCAATTTCAGCGAAAAATAACCGTGCTTAACGTGTCTAAAGAATGGTAAATGATCATTTTATACAATATATGTACCTCGAGTTGGTGATTAATATTGCAGTACTCAAACGTGAGGTCACTCACCTGTAACAGAAAATGAAAAGAATATGTTAGTAAAATATTATGTGTTACTACGATTATAAAAAAATATTTAAACGTGTCTAAAATTTATATATTGAGTTGCTTTGCTGTATTCTAAGCTATTTATTTTTATTTTAGATTATATACTATTTTTCTCATACCTCTACTACTAGTAATTTCATTTAATTTTTCGATAATTATAAATAGTCTATTTCCTTTTGCATTTGTTGTTATTAAAAATAGTTATGTACTGAAGAGAGCTGAAATTGAAAACGTTGCAGACCACAAGGTATGCCAAGGGAATTTTTCATTTTCATTTAATTTACTCAGGACTGGGACCAGGTTGATAGAAGAACAACGGTGGCCGTTTGCGTGCGAATTACTCTTGCTTCTAAGCGCGGGTCGTGCATTCCACCAACGAGGTAAAACGTTTCCTCGTTTGCCATCTTCTGCGAGAGTCCGTATCTTCTACCTAATCCGCGGAGAACGCCTCGTTGCACAGTTTTTGTCCTTCGGGGCCGATCGAACGGAAAATTACACTGTTCTTGAAACGGTTACTACGCGGAGACACGAAGAACACTGGCGTAGAAAATGGGTTGCACGACAGAACGTCACAAAAAATATCACGCGAAAATATTTTACCAAAATGCACCACGAAGAGTTCTATTTTAGTTAAAAATCAAAAATTGGTCAAAATTTAAGTAGAAACAAAGATGAAAAGAGAGAATCTTCAGTCTCCACTGTCTTAAAACAGTCTAACAAAGGGTATTAAAAATAGTTAAATAGTTAATAGTGTTTTCTCCATAATTGAGTCACTGTTAGAAATGGTAAAGCTTTCTCTTTGAAATGATTTTTGGATTATGTTAAATAGTTAATAAAAATAATAAAATAGTTAAACAGTTAATAGTTTGTGTTTTCTCCACAATTGAGTCACTGTTAATATGGGGTAAAGCTTCCCCTTTAAAATGATTTTTGGATTATGTTAAATAGTTAATAAAAATAATAAAATAGTTAAACAGTTAATAGTTTGTGTTTTCTCCACAATTGAGTCACTGTTAATATGGGGTAAAGCTTCCCCTTTAAAATGATTTTTGGATTATGTTAAATGATTAATAAAAATAATAAAATAGTTAAATAGTTAATAGTTAGTGTTTTCTCCACAATTGAGTTACTGTTAAAAATGGTAAAGCTTCCCATTTAAAATAATTTTTAAATTATGTCGATTCGATTTTACGTTTCGAAGATATCATAATTTAAATGAAGGGGTAATTTTTTTAATTCAACTATCTGAATCTGAGGCAGAACGTATTTTTCTTTTATAATTAAAAGCCTGATGAACACTGGGAGAAATTTTTCCTTCCTTTCAGGTAGTCAGCTACTAAAAAATATGGAAACTGTCGTAATAAAGTATTCCTCGGTCGAAGTAATTTACAAATATCTGCAGAGTTCCTTGATGTACCTGTCCGAAAGATCCTTACGCTTTCTCTCGCGCGAAACGTTCTGCCAGTGAGAAAGCGTGCAGCAAGGAGTTATCGCTGTTTATTAAGACATTGACTCAATTTATTAAGACGTTAACGACGCTGCGTGAAGATTTGTTTATCGCAAACGCGACAGGCTCGTTGGTTCCTGTTTCCTTCGTCAGAAATTGAGATGAATAAACGTTTACGCGTTATCGTGATTTTATCAGTTTTCGTTTAAATAAAATAAATATTCGATTGAATTTTGATATACAATATTACGATCAGAACATAATTATTTTGCAATATAAATTATACATCTTTACCTATACACAAATTATATTTTACTTCATATATGTAAGTAATGCTTGTAATTGATAAGTAAAGCCCAATAAATGACAGTAACTTGATCCTTCTATGCAACGAATAAAATTTCATTTAATTTTTTTTATCAGGGACAATAAAGAAATAAAATTTAATTTCTTGAAATATTAATTTAAAACATGTTTTAGAATGTATTTACGAATAAAAAATGAACGATAATATTCATTAGTGCCATTGAAAGACTTGGCCAATATGTCTGTTCATTACTTGCTATTTCTACTTGGGTTCGGTGTTTGTAAGTACTAATGTTGGAAAAATATATTTTTTTATATATTTTTAATGCCACTTTATGAGCAATATTTGAGAACATCGATTTAAGTAGAAATAACTAGCAATGAACAGACACGTTAGCCAAGTCGTGCTAAATATTATATTCTTTGCATTTATTTCATCATTCTTCCTGTTGTTCATAACAGAATATTGAGAGTTTAACGGTTAAAAAGTTATGCTCGGAATTCGCGTGAATATTTTTATCGTTGTAAATATCACAAAGCACGTTCTCGCGAAGAAAAATCTGTCGGTGAAGGCGTAATAAGCACGTGCAGGAGTATAAATTACGTTGTGGCTCTGATTACAGTGTCGTATAACCAAACATAAAGTAATAGTTACAAAACGGGATCAACGTAATTGCACGGAAGAAAGTCTACAGAGAAGAAAAAAAAGAACAAATAGAAATTGTGTATACTGATTAACTCATTACGTACCAATGCTCTTAAAATTGATTTTAATCTTAGAACAAGTCTGAAATCTATAAAATTTTAACATGAACCCATCCCGTTTGTCAAAACTTTTACTTCCAAATTGTGTAACATGTTTTTAAAAGGAAGTTTCGAGACTGTGCGAGTTGAAAGGACTCTGTACTGCGGAGGGCCCTCGAGAAGATGGCCAACGATACGATACGCAGGAGGGAATTAAGAAAAAAGAGAAGAAACAAGAGGGTATGCATGAAGAGTCATCGAGGAGGGGGAGGAGAGAAAAAATATGACATGACCGTGTAACAGACCGAAGACAAAGCTGATGGGAGACGAAGGGAACAAGAGCAACGAGAAAACTAAGGAAGAGAAGATAGTGGCGAACGATAATGTCCGGCCGTGAGCGTTACTCCGACCGTGAATGTGTCTGGCAGCGTCGGGTCCTCATCCTTCGAAGGACTATTTGTTCCACGCAACGCGTAAATTACGACCAATCGGGCCCGGGGAGAGCCGACGGAGCAGCAACAACGACGGTCCGTTGCTTCGACGTCCATTATGTATCTCGAAGACGAGGGAATTTCGCGAGGTTGCCTGGAGGGTACTGATCCAGAGCACGTCACGGTTCGACGGTCTGTTCAGCCCGAAGTTATCCACGGCGAACGTGGCGGTGCTTCTCCAACGGGGAAACCCGTACCCCGGAATTTGATTATTCTTTCACCTGGACTTTTGTGTATCGTGCACTACGATGGCTTCGTTAACCCTTAAGCAACCGTGGCTAAAAATCCCAACAGCTACCAATGGGATCTACACGTTCCAAAAACCGTAACTTCCGGTAAATACCAGCGGGCTGAATCCTTCTTTCATATCGATTTATCAAGTTCAACAAAAATAAATAAAGTAGGATTTTGATGAAAGAATTTTCCGTACAAAAGTTTGTTCCTTTTCAGAATGATAATATAGGTCTTTTATATTGTAGTGTAACAAATAAATAAAATAGTTGTGTTTCCCTCTAGAGACCAAGTAACCTTTGTATTTGATATTTTTTCAGAAAATGCGTTGCTTTCGAGATATTTAGATTTAAAGTTTTCAAATGAACGGTATACGTTACGTTCGAATCAAATTTTATTTTTGAATTCAAATCTAATAATAGATTTCTTACATCGACGTTTAAGAATACAATTTGGTTATAATAATAAGACGAAAATCAAGGATACTAATTTGTTGATTGAGGCTTCGTTACAAAAGTTGTTAAAAAATTTCGAATCATTCATGGAAAAATTATTTTCGGTTCCGGGGGTCAATTACAATCATTTTTGGTCAATAGACATACCCCTGAAATCCTACGCACTTTGGAGAAAAAAATTCTTTACCGAAAATATAATTTCTGGCCAGAAATGCTTCCTCGAAACCTCATGCAAATGTTTAAAATATCATAACTTTTGAACGGATTGGAGGATTTTAATGTTTAAAAAAGCAAACAACGCGTATTTTAGTGAAGAATATGTAGAAATTCCAAAAATATTCGAAAAGTTGATCCTTGACCCCGCAAAATGATAAAAACCCCATATAAAATGGTCCAATTTTCAAACGACCATAACTCCTACTAATAGTGAATATATTTGAATGAAACTTTTTTCTGAAATAGAGCTCATGGGCACCTACAAAAAAGTATTAGGCAACTTTTCTGTAGGTCGTCGAACAAAATTACTAAAAATCAAAAAAAAATTTCGAATCGTTCTAAAAAAATTATTTCTAGATTCTAGGGCCAAATACAACCATTTTTTATGAATACACATACCTCCGAAATCCAACTCACTTACGAGAAAAAAATTCATTACTGAAAATATAGTGTCTGACCATAACTGTCTGATTACCCTGAGAAAAAAAATTTTCAAATCGTTCTGGAAAAATTATTTTCGATTGTGGAGGTCAATTACAATCATTTTTGGTGAATACACTTATCTCCGAAATCGTTCGCAATTTTGAGAAAAAAATTCAGGAAGGTGGACAAATTTTTCGACAAAATAAAAGAATTTCAAATCGTTCTGGGAAAATTATTTTCGGTTGAGGGGGTCCATGACAATCATTTTTGGTGAACAGACATACCCCCGAAATCCTACACACTTTCGAGAAAAGAATTCTTTACCGAAAATATACTATGTAGCCGGAAATGTTTGTATAACTTTTATTTTGGCCTCTAGAATCTCGCATTAAAATTTTTCCCAGGGGTGGCTGAACACTCTGTATAATCGTGTCAAGTTGGGAAAAATAATTGAAGACACTACTGTTTTAGTAGCAAAAGCCATGAAACAATTCAACAATTCTGTAATCCTAAAACATCACCTTTTTCACATAATACAATGTTATATGGAATGAATCAAAAATAATGTTCGTACAATACACTTTATATACAGTTCAGCATCAAAATGTTCTTCAGAAAGTGAAATCTTGCGCAACGTTCGCGAACCTG